AAAAGCGACTAAACTTTCTTCTCTTACGGTAGGAAACCAAGCGAGCTGGGAGGTGCATGGATGGTACGCTGCACTACCCCGACTTTGAGAGTCACCAATCTTAATGCCTAAAAAGCACTATTCATTGGTTTGCTATATGCAAATAGTTAAGAGTGTGCGCGATTCCATAATGTCAATCCACTTAAATTCTCAACCACAGATGATGTATTTCTAGCCTGTTAATTGGTACCAGCCCTTATCACCTGTGTTTGACCTTACATGGATTATAAGTACCACAAGTGTCTCTCAGCTTAAACCTTGGTGGCAAAGAAGATTTCATGAGGAAAAATGGCTGAAAACGGCAACAGATTTGATGAGTTTTCTACTTTAATTCACTCGCCTAACTGCTCGTGATATATACCATACCATAGGGGTTCGTTGGCCAGACATAGAAAGTGTGGTCTATTGTTGAAGTTCCCATGAGAGTCTTTAAATATGCAAGGCCTTATCCTTTGCAGAGGACATGAGTAAGCGTGTCAGACTCGTAATCCAGCGGTCGCGGGTTCGAGTCCCGCTCTGGCCACCACCTGGATTTGTTTCTCGGTAGTCCCGAGTTCAATTCCTCGGCCACGCTTGTAAATAGCCAACTGGTTTGCCTCTGGCCAGTTGGGATTCTTAACAATGTTATGTTCAGTTTGAATTATTTGTTTCAGTTGTTTGCTAATAAATAAAAAAGAAATAACCTTTATTTACCCTCGGCAATGTTTATAGCACAAGTCGGGTGGGGCCGAGCAAAGTAAGCTTAAGGCCCGGGGAAATATTTGGGAAATATTTGGGAAATCACGTATATGGGGAATATTGGTCTAGTTCTTTTTTGCAAGTTTCTGAACCAAATATAACGGAAACCGATTTCTAGTTGACAAAAAACTGCTTTCTTCTGCACAAAGTTTGACGTTTTGAAAATGCAATTCGCCAAAACTAATTTGTGACCAATAAGATCCATCTTAGCAGTTCGTATTGCAAAATTCGGACCGCTCAGGGAACTAGTTTTCAGTTTGCCATATATTAAGGCATAATACTAAAACCAGATTTGCCAAGAAACATTTTATTATGAAACGCCGTGATAGAACACATCACTGCAGACAGATTGACACGTAGTAAGTGTATAGAAAACGGTAATTGAGTAAGCGCGCAAACTATGTTTTCGAGCGCTTCGGAAGGCACCAAAAATCTATAAGGGGCTGAAACTTCAGTTGCTAATTCAATCCACCCTCTTGAGACAATTCTAAGATACCGGACCGAAAACTCCATACTGATGTGAAGAGATCCATATAATGTCTGTGACGGGTTGTGGCTTAGTTTTGAACGTTTCAAATTTTCGCGCACGTAGCATAACCAAAGAAAACACACGGTTTTCTGTATAGCAATGGAGCAATTTTATCAGTATGGAGTTCCTCGGATCGAATCTCGGATACATCTTGAACGGTTGAAACGTTTCATCTTATTTCATCATTAACTATCAGCTGTCCATCTCTCAGTTCTATAATCTTATCACAGTCTTCAATGGTTTTGAGTCGATGTGCGATTGTGATCACTGTTGAGTTTTTCAGTTTTTCTCGGATTGTTTCGTGTATAATTTGTTCAGTTTTGGGATCCACATGAGCAGTCGGCTCATCCAAGATGACTATTTTACTCTCCTGCAAGAGAACACGAGCGAGACAAATCAACTGTTTTTCGCCTGCACTTAGATTCATTCCTCTATAGTTCAATATGCAATCCAGCTTCCCTTGCAAGGTTTCCACCAATGGCTTCAGTTGGACTGTTTCTAGTGCATCCCACAATTCAACATCACTGTGTTTTCCCAGTGGATCAAGATTCTTTCTCAGGGACCCACTGAACACAACAGGGCTTTGGTTAAGGACAGAGATGCATTTCCGAGATTCTTGAACGTTGAAATTGTTTAGCTCTACTCCATCTATTTTGATTTGCCCTTCAACCTCGGGCATGCACAGAATAGCAGCTGTGATGCTGGATTTTCCAGCTCCCGTTCTACCCACAATTCCAATCTTGGACTGTCCATCAATATTTAAATTCAGATCCTCCAGTACTCTTGGTCCTTGTGGATAATATCTCAGCGACACTCCGGTAAAGTTTATTTCTCCGTTCGTTGGCCAATGTTCCGGTCGTTGTGTTGTTGTCTGGTATCCCGGTTCAGCTTCAAGTTTAGTAATCGCCATCACTCGCTCTACTGACGTCATTAAATTCTCGACTTCTGAGGACTGTTGAACAGACACCTGGGTGAAGTGAGAAGTTTCCAAGACGTAGACGAAAGCGAGGCCAACCAGAGCTATGAAAAGGAGAATAGGCATGTTTAACGTTTTAATGAATTAATTGTAAGTTGGTGTTTTTAAGGTCTGCAATCTGTAACGCTTGACTAGTGAGCATTGTCTAACGTAATTTTTACGCGGTTTAAAATGCCGGAAAAATTTACGAGGCTCATCTACATTTCGCGGAAAAACCTCAACGCGATCCCTAGTGAGAAGGCTATAAATTTCTGTTACGTCCTTTTTTGTCTTACTGTCCTTCAAAATTCACGGAATTTGGACATGTCTTGTCAACCTTGTAATTTCAATCCAATGCCAAAGACGAAGGAATATTTGGATTTAGAATTGTAATTTCGAATAGAAAGTTCAAACCAATATTATCTAATGCTATACCAGGCGGCCATTTCTTACCACGCCACTATAACGTATGGAATTCTGTTGTTTTAAATGAGCAAAAAGAAAAAGCAAGAAAAAAGAGTGCTAAGTAAATCACTTCCTTACCATTGTTGTGGGAATACAATGCAGTGAGCAAAGCTACAGCGCCGATTAAGAGAGCAGAGAGGAGATCTAATCTTATCCCCAGCCATCGAGTTCCAGCCAATACCATGTAATATGCACGGTTATGAGTATCTTGGTAACTGTAACATAAGCCAACACAATTAACATTAGCTTTTTTCTTTCAGAAGATTAGACGTTTTTCTTAGGATTGCTGAAAAAAAAAAAGGAATTTGGGGGTTTTGTGCTTATAAAAATGTTGCATGGTAGTCATCTAAAGAAACCCCATTTCTCTAACGTTATAGTATGATCCAAAACAAGCTCAACAGTCGTCAGGTGGTCATCGCTTCTATACAGAGTGTAGCCTATAAAATGGGTAGAACTAGCGTATTATGCCTACGGAATCATACCGTTTTGAGATATCAGTAAAACCTGGTTCATGTTTCATTTGTTTAACTAGTTTTTGATGCTAAAGATTTGTCTGTGAAAAGTTAAAGCTGAAACTGCTTTTGTTGTTATTGTTGTTGTTGTTGTTGTTGTTTATCAAGCTAGAAATTGATCTAAAACATCTCCCAACGGCTTTATCTCTCTGATGCTCTTCAGAAAAGGTGTTTTTGACTTTCACCGTTTTAGAAACCAGCTTTACCCGTATAAGAGGTCCGCAAACTCCTGCTGTCTTCCACGGGATCGAATGGTGTCCAATCCGTCTAGGGTTTCTGAAATCTGTGTCAAAACAGGGCTGCGGCACAAACACTCTAGTCTCTTAAGTTCTCTTGATGTCCTCATAAAATACCTTGCAATGTAAACATACAATAATGTAATCGGAACAACAACTGCCGCGAGCCACGCATTGGCAACCAGGGGAACAAGTGCTGCAGTTAACACGAACAACACTATTTGGACAGCAAAGAGGAACGTTTTGGGCAAAACTTCATCCATACAGCCAATGTCTTTAGAAAATCGATTGAGGATTCTTCCAATTGGATTTGAATCAAAGAACAGAACCGGTGCTTTCAGGATGGCTGTCACCATGTCGTTGTGAAGGTTTTCTGAAGATTTCACTACTACCAGGAAGAACGCATAGGCGCGTAATGTTGTTAGAAGAACAGCCGCCGCGACACAACTGGCATAGATAACAAGATTGGTCTTGTCCGTTTGGTCATCACGAGGGATTGTCGTCAGAATGGACAGCCACAGATCGGGTGAAACCATAACTCCTGCAATCAGTGAAGACAACACTCAACAAGGAATAATCGGTTGAAACAATAAGTTATCTGGGAAGGGCTAATGTTTGTCTGACCATTTATGGCCGTTTAAGCAACTACCCTAGCATGTGGTGGATTGAATAGAAAGGGACACTATCTTTTGCATGCAGTTATTCACGTGCGAAACAAGCAATTCGTTACCCAATCGTTTCCCAAATAGTCTTAGTGCCCACAAGAAAAGCTCGAAGATCTCTACTGGCACCAAACTGACATTTTTGGCTCGCAGATGGCCCTCTGCCAATCATTTCGGCTTTCACCCATTAATAGCTTTTTTTCGAATTGGTGCCTTCTCGAGTACTTTGAAGGGGTCTCCCTAAAACTCTTTGATTGTAACGTGACCAATTAAATAAAAGTGGTCCGAGTTTCAGGATTGGGTTTTCATTGGTGTTAATAAGGCAAACTGGTCTCTGGGACTTACCTTGAGAAACAAGAAAGATGACAAGCAGGCCAGCTAAAGCTATGGGATGCACTCCTGCACTTAGGTAATCCCAGTACAGCTTGCAAGACACTGCTCCAATCTTACGATCCTCGTTCGCAATCTCCATACTTTTGATCGACTTGTTATCAGACCAATGCACTTTAGTACTTGGCATTTGTTCATGGGACAAATTTGTTTCCTGAGCTACACTGTTTTGGGGTTCTGGTATTTCTTTTAGTGCTTCCCTTTCATTTAGGTCCATTAATGCCCCTTTATCGATTATTGAACCGTTGTGCAAGACGATCACTTGATCTGCAAGTTTCATGTGTGACTCTTGGTGAGAAACCATCAAACGAACTTTGTTTGACAACAAGCCAAGCACACAATCTTTAAAGATATGATTGCTGACGTTCATGTCGAGTGCGGCGAGTGGATTGTCCAACAGGTAAATGTCACATTCGGCATACACTGCGCGTGCCAAACTGATGCGAACCTGCTGACCACCGCTCAGCGTGTCACCTCGTTCTCCAACAATAACCTGGTCCTTATCAGGAAATCCTTCAATATCTTCTTCTAAAGAGCAAGCTCTGATGGTTTGGATGTACTTATCGAAATCAAATGGCCGACCGAAAAGAATGTTCTCTCTCAGTGTTCCAGAGAAAACCCAGGGCATCTGTGGCACGTAGGCGATGGTACCACAGCATTGAATATTCCCTTTAGTAACTGGTATCTCACCAGCAATTACGGACAGCAACGTTGATTTTCCACTTCCCACTGCACCAGTTATGATAACAAAACTATCATCTCTTGCTTCAAAGCTGAATGTGTTTTCAGTATTCACTTTGCAAGTCACATTGGTTAACTTGATACTACTTTTTCTTTTTTCCTGCAATTGCCCTTTCTCTACAATTCGCAGTTTGTCCGTTTGGCTTGGAACCAGATTCGTTATTCCAACAGAGGGATGTTGATTTTTGTTATCTGGAATATCTATAAACTTGGTTATGATGGCGGTTTTCTTCAAGGACTCGTGTAGATACGTGAAGTGACACTTGATATTTACCTTGCCAATTTCAAATCCTTTCTTCTTAACCACTGACTTGTCATCAACATTGGTAAAGAGTTTCGCATCAGTCATACCATGAAGGTTTGGCAACAACAGAAATTCCTGTATTCTATTAAATGAGACGTATGCCTCGTATACAAACTGTGACCCTTCTCCTATAGATCTCAGCGCACTGTTTCGGAGGACATTGATAATTGACAGCAGTGTAAAAACTACGAACGGCGTTAAATGATAACCACTGAAGGCAAGCGTCAAAATAGAAATAAAAGTGGCAACAAGTCCTGAAGAATACATCAGAGATATTGCACATGACAAAAGAATGCTCTTACGACGAATTATTCTCATCTCATCGCTGCAAATAAGGAAACAGAAAACACTATATTAGTGTCAGATATGTACCTATTTGCCACTTGCTAGAAAGGACCAGGCCTTAAAAAATGATGTATGGCAATACGGAACATGCCGACTTTTTATCTGCGAAAGCAATTTTGGAAGAAGGTCGAGGAAAGTAGCCCGTCATCTGATTTCTTTTTATCCTGTCTTGATAACAAAGTTTTGTTAAATTTCAAAACTCTAAGTGCAAAATACTGGGCTACTGTAAAGTGCATTAAGTGCGTAACGATTTAGGCCAGATTTTAGTGATTCTCGAACAATCTGGCCAACAAACGTTTTGTTTCAGTCTACTAGCAAACAAGTGTAAAACCAAAGCCATTAGTGATTGCGCATGAATTCCTGCCTTGTTCCACGTGTACCACGTTTGTACCACGAGTTTGTAATCAATGATTAATGGCACTGTTGATATTTGTACTATATTTTGTTGCAAGTAAATGGTTGACTATTACTGATACGGGTTTTGCTTGGGTCCGTTGTGGATTGCAGAGATGGGATTGCCTTGGTCTTTTAAAATTTAACATTTGTGATTAACCCAGCAGCAACTACACAATCCTTTTCCACTAACCTTCTAGTCTCCTTGATCTTATCTTTAAAAACCCACTCCCACGCATGCGTCTTTACTTCACGTATTCCAGCCACTATCTCGGTCATGAGATTTATTCGTCGGTCAGATATGACAGCGGTCTTCAGTCGAAGCTTTCCAGACAGGTACGACAGAAAGCCACCAAATGGAACGAGAAGAAACAAAAAGATGATTCCCATCAGCGCCTGCCAACCAATGAAGTACCATAACAACGGAACAGCTACACAGACATCAAAGATAGCGACAAGGAGGCGAAAGAACTGCCTGGCAGCTTGTTCCATTCTTTGAACATCATTGGATACTAGATCAATCACGTGACCCTTTGTAAACTCATTGAGTGTGTGTTGACCAAGGAGCAGGATCTACAGAAAACCGTTCATGTAAAATTGATAAGATCTTTGGAAATAATAGCTATAATTATTAGTCGTGCCACATATTCAGGCACAAGACAGTTAACTGTACAAATAAAACTAGAACAAAGAAAATTAGAACTCTACCAAATAGCTATACGTTATCTTCACACGAGACTAAGCTGGGTCAGTGTTAGTTGGACTTGAGCTTATTTTGCTGTCCATTTATTACTCATTATCTCAGTCAAGAAAATCCCGTTAATTAATCTCCGGTCACTTTCTTCCCCATCAAAAACATTATCTTCAAGCAGTTCCTAAACGTTTGTCGGCGCTTTCGCCTCACACTTACGAGATGACGATATTGTTTGGATTTCGAGAAACTGCATCGCAAAGATAATGAGAGAATACTGTGCTGAGATAATAGACTAGAGAGCGAGGCCTAGAGGGCAGACAAACCAATACAATCCGTTTCCTTTGCATGTCCTTTTTGCCTCTCTATTAAAGATCTTCAAGTCCAATTCCACTTGAAATGTGGCTAAACTCAACCTCTACAAAACCAGTTCGTCAAGTGTCGGCATATTTTCATCTTCTGGAATGCGTTTATGGTCTAGTAAAACTCTCTCAGCAGTCTTCCAGACCGCAGACATTAGCTAGAGTGTATCGGCTACATACTGTTCAGGCTATTTTGGAATCAGCCGGAAAACATGGAATGAATGGTTACCGCCTCGTTCCGTTGGAATACCTATCTATCCCATCTTACTGAATGAACAGGCTAAATTAGTTTTCTATTTTCTGCTCTCGATGTAAGACTAAACAAACTGCAGTTTTAAAAGCTTGGTTTCGAAATCATGTAGACAACATAGAGGTTTGTCATATTTTGTCAGGACGCATGGCGCATCAATTACCGGATAAGAAACGGATCACGCCTTCAACGTAACCTTATGTTCGTACAAGGTTACCATGTGGCACAATGGCAAAAATGTTTTGCCGGCTTCTTTCACGATCGACCAAAAAAAATCCGCAAACATTTTTACTGTAAAAAAGATAACTTCGCTTTAAACACGAAGAAAAACGGAACAGGAAAAGGAAAAAGAAAGTAATATTGTCGACCATACAGAGCGACCACTAGATAGGGAGGTGTTGTTAGACTGATGCTCATCAAGTACTGCAATGCCACCACTGTAGTGCTTTATTACCAAACAAAGTTAACATGTTTCACAAATGTACGGTGACGTTGTGTTTTTGGTAATCTGACATTTTTCAAAGGAAACAATATTACATTGTATTACGTACGTGCTGCCATTTCAGTTGTGCCGCATGACTTGCAAAAAATTGCAAATATTTATTCCCTAAACGGAAAAGCCTTTCTTTCCCAACAGAGAGCTTAGATCCCGCAAAATGCACAAAAATCTTCACAAGTCTGTAAAATTAAAGACCCACAAAAATGTTTGCACCATCCGGTATCAAGCACCATAATTATGATTAGTTTTTTTCAAGACTATTGTGCCAGTACTTTTACTCCCCGTCTCGTGTCATTGCAACAGCACAATTTGTTTTTCATAAGATTAATCCCTTCCAAGAAGAAACTATTTCAACTTCTCTGGAAAGCGGACTTTGAAAGCCTTTGCCGAAAGTACGTTGTTAATTTTAAAATTAAAATCAAAATAAAAAAAAAAACGTTTTTGAAAATTCTCTTATCCATAAACTGGAGAAAGGATTGCTAGAACGGTTCCCAAAGAATACACCCAAGCACATGCACACTCAATCCAATCAAGATGACCAGTGCAAGGGTAGGGTAAATTCAACCATCGTACTCATTTCGCCTTTGCTACATTAATCCTGGATAAACTCCGTATAAGGTATGATCTTTAGGGTCATACCTATTTAATTGGTAAGAACTGAAATAAAAGGAATTGAGGAAATTTTACTGCGAAAAGAAAGAGAACCATGCATTAGTTAAAATCATACTAACCTTTCTGAAGATGACTCCTTTAAGGGAGGCCTTCATTCGCATCCCAATCACGTACAGTTTAAAGCTACTATGATGTACAGCAATACTCTTGATCAAAACAATCAACAGCATCAATGCAGCACAGCCACAGAGCAAGCCTCGCGCTGGTGTGTCGGACATAAGTGTAGAAATGAACACTCCCAGGAAAAAGGGCTGAAGAAATCGACCCACTGAGTCCAACAGTCCGGCAAAAGAAATTATACACAGGTCTTTGCAGGACAGAAC